CTGACCTTCTGAGCTTTGGGACTTTTCCTTTCTTCCTGGAATCTCTGAGTACACTGGGACACTTCCCTGTTTCTCTGGCTCCCACCCAGTTTTGCAAGGTTCCCACTACAGAGAACTTCTAACTCATATTAAGCTTTTACATACTCTAGAGTTGCCTTGTGGTTATCCATGTCTGAATAATTATAGATTCAGTTAACGTTTTAATAATTTATAAGGTTAATTATCTCTCATATCTTATATATTTTCTCATTATTTTGTCATATGTGTTTAGGATAATTTAGTTTGTGTTTTTTAATAGTTCATGGTATTAGACAACTAATTTATAAAGTCAGACCAGTAAATTGGCTTGTTAGGGGAAACCATTCCTCCATACTGTCACATCTCACCTCAGTAAAAGAAGGGGCATGGGGTTATGCCAGGTGTCAGCACATTTATTCACAACAGAGTATAGAACAAAAGTGTTAGGACAGACCCTTGCATGGCAGGGAAGCCGTGTTAATGTTTTGACATCGTGGTTTAACCGGAGCCCCAGGTAACTTGTTCTGCACCTCCCCACCACCTCCCCTAACCTCCCCACCAATTTCTGTCTGCCTTTCCCACCAGTCAACCCTGAGATGCCCCAAATAGGTCCCATTTACCATGTACAAAGGGGAGTACGGAAGACACAAAGTCCCCTCACCCCAACTTTCACCTTTGGGATTGAATAGCTTGGAGCAGGGAAAGTGAACTGTGATAAAAACCAAGTGAGGACTTTTAAAGAAGCATGGACAGAAGCATTAAGAATAATATCTGACTGCAACTTCAGAAAAAAGTGCACCAGGGGAAAATAAAGTCTCAGCGGATGTTCTGAAACTGCCCGTAAGAAAGGGCTGCGACGAATCATCTGAGCTTTGGATTCAATGGGGTTTGGCTGGTCCTGTCTGCACCTGCTGAGCCAGATGCTCTGGCGGCTGCCTGCAAGCACAGCGCAGTCTGCTTGGCTCCATCTTCAGCAAGAGTCCTTCAGCTCCCTCACGGAGCACTCACCAGTGTGTGACAGCTGTCCACGAAGCTCTGCAACTTGCGCAAGTGCTGAAGTGCTGCACGTTTACTCTTCTGACTGTTAGGGAGACTTCAGGAGATTGGGTTATCAGCCGTGGGCAAACTACGGCCCGCGGGCCGGATTCGGCCTGTTTGAAATGAATAAAACTAAAAAAAAAAAAGACCGTACCCTTTTATGTAATGATGTTTACTTTGAATTTATATTAGTTCACACAAACACTCCATCCATGCTTTTGTTCCGGCCCTCCGGTCCAGTTTAAGAACCCATTGTGGCCCTCGAGTCAAAAAGTTTGCCCACCCCTGGGTTAGGTCTTTGGCTGCTGACGGGTATTGTTGCTGAGAGCTTTCACTTTGTGCTTTGGTCAGGGTGGCTCACAGCAGTGCTTGCTGATAGTGCAGGCTCTCTCTGTTTGCAGACCCGTGTCCCACAGAGGGCATTCCAACAGGGTGTCAAGGAGGCACACCCTCGCAAGGGATACTGGAGTTTCAGAGATCTAGCAGGTAGGGGCAGAAGTTCTTGCTCATTAGGAGTGGGACCCGGCATGGATGGCTTCCGGAGCTTTCCTCCTGCACGGGCAGTGAGTGTGCTGATTTCCGGGGTTTCCAGCTGTCGCAGTCCCGCATCGTCCTCCGCACGGGGCTGGGGTTGCTACTTGATACACTGAAGCCTAAATAGTTGAGTATGTCTCCACTCTCAAGTCTTTGGTGGCATGCGTCCCACAGGGACATGAGGTCTTCTTCAAGATTTCATTGAAAAGTACATGATTTGCTTCTTCACAAAAATAAACAGCCGTACAAACACCTGGCTGCTGTCGACCTTCACCAGCATCTCATTCACCCTGAACAGCCAGTTGCCAGTTGCCAGGGCTACCCACCCCGTGCAGAACTTCATGGGTTTACAACAGCGATTTTCAACCTTGTTCATCTGATAGCACATAAACTAATTACTAAAATTCTGCAGCACCGATCTGACAAAAAAAAAAGTATAATTTTAATTCATTCGCACCGGATGGCTATTGTTTTGTTGGCTGTTGTTTCTTTATTTGACAATCTACGTGAAAAGAGGTCACTGCCCCTGACTGAGTAGTCAGGTATTGCATGTTTTAAAAATCAGTGTGGCACACTATTGCCCTGTACCGTGCGCTCAGCTTTCCTGGAGCTCCTTGGCCATTTCCTCATGGGGGAAAACCAAGCCAGACTTGGCCAGAAACATGGCTGTGTGGGCAGGTCTAGTATTCTAACAGAAAATAAATAAGATAATTTCTAAGTGGGTAAATTAAAAAGTAGTAATGTGAGCATTTATCCAGAAACATAGATGTGATTAAAAGAAACTTAAAATCAAAGTAGTTACTTTTGGAGAGGTGGGATAAGTTGGAGAGGGGCAGATAGTATGGAACAGAGAACTGCTATATTTCATTACTAGAGGCCCGGCGCACGAAAATTCGTGCACTTGCGGGGGGGGGGGTCTCCTCAGCCCAGCCTATGCCCTCTCGCAGTCTGGGACCCCTCAGGGGATGTCCACCTGCCAGCTTAGGCCCACTCCCCAGGGGATCGGGCCTAAGTTGCAGTCGGACATCCTTAGCGCTGCTAAGGAGGTGGGAGGGGCTCCTGCCACCTCTGCTGCGATTGCAGCCATCAGCCCAGCTTGTGGCTGAGCAGAGCTCCCCCTGTGGGAACACACTGACCACCAGGGGGCAGCTCCTGTGTTGAGCATCTGCCCCCTGGTGGTCAGTGCACATCATAGTGACCGGTTGTTCCGCCTTTAGGGTCAATTTGCATATTACCCTTTTATTATATAGGATAAGCCACTTAGTAATACAATTTGACTTTTAATGTTTATGTTTTATTTTAATAAAAGTAGAAAATATTACAAGACAACTACAATATTAGTAGACTTATTCTAAAGAATTATGAAGAGGAGGTAAAATTGAATAAAATGAAGACTGATACTGAATGAAGTGTGGTGAGGGCGGTGGGGTGGTGTCTAGCTTCACTCTCTTACAGTTATCCCAGTACCATTTGTTGGAAAGATGATTCTTTCCTTCATTGAATTGTCTTGTCACCCTTGTTGAAAATCAATTGACTATGAATTTATGGATTCTCACTTGGTTATATGTCTATCTTTGTGCCTTTCTTGAGTATTGTAGCTCTTAGTCAGATTTGAAATTAAGTATGGCTCTCCCAGCTTTGTTCTTTTTGAAGATTGTTTGGCTATTCTGTGTCCCCTGCATTTCTCATATGAGTTTTAGGATCAATTATCAATTTCTGCAAAAACGAACAAACAGGCTTCTGAGATTTTGATAGTGATTACATTAAATCTGTAGATCAGTTTGTGTATATTGCCATTTTAACAGTTTGTGAATATGGGATATCTTTCTATTATTTGTCATCTTTAATTTTTTCAATGACATTTTATAGTTCCAGTATACAAATCTTGCACTTCTTTTGTTACATTATTAATAATTGTTTTATTTTTGATGCTGTTGTAAAAGGAATGATTTTCTTAATTTCATTTTCAGGTTGTTCAATGCTAGTGTATAGAAACACAATTGATTTTTGTATTTTGATCTTGTATCCTGTAACCTTGCTGAACTCATTTATTCTAATAAATTTATTTGTATATTCCTTAAGATATTTTATATATATAAGATCATGTCAAAAAACGATAGTTTTACTTATTCCTTTCCAATTTTAATGACTTTTATTTCCTTTTCTTGCCTAACTGCTCCAGCTAGAACCTCCAGTACAGTATTGAGTAGAAGTGGCAAGAAAGAGTAGACTTCCTTGCCTTGTTCAGTCTTTCACCATTAAGTATCATGTATGTAAGCTATGGAAATTTTCATAGATCTCCTTTATCAAGTTGGGGAAATTTCCCTTCTATTTGTTAATGTTTTTTAATCATGAAAGAATATTGGATTATGTCGAATGTTTTTTCTTTGTCTATCGAGGGAGATATCATGTGGTTTTTTGTTTTTGTCCTATTAATACAGTGTATCACATTGATAGATTTTCATATGTTGATGAACCACCCTTGCATTCCTGGGATAAATTGTACTAGTCATTGTATAAAATCCTTTTCAGTCTTGCTGGATCCAGTTTGCTAGTTTTTTATTAAAGATTTTTACATCTTCATTTACAAAGAATATTGACTGTCATTTTCTTGTGATGTCTTTGTCTGGATTTGGCATCTCATAGAATAGTTGGGAAGTATTTCCACCTCTCCTTTTTTGGGGAGAGTTTGTGAAGAATTGGTTTTAATTCTTTAATATTTTATAGAATTCACCAGGGAAGCCATCTGATTCTGGGCTTATGGAAAGTTTCTTTTTTTATGTTAATCCTTACCCAGGGAAATTTTTCCATTGACTTAGATAGAGTGGAAGGGAGGGAGACAGAGAGAGAGAGAGAAAAACATCAATGTGAGAGAGACACATTGATTGGTTGCCTCCTGCACATGTCCTTGACCAGATTTGAACCCGAGATCCTCTAACCACTGAGCAAACCAGCTAGGGCTATGGGAAGTTTCTTGATTACTAATTACTATACTTTTAAAATTTATTTATTAAAATTTCTTATTTCTTCCTAAGTAATGTTTTTTAACTTGAAGTTATAAAATAAGTGTAAGATTATAAGCATGTATAAGGTAGCCTGATAAAGCCCAAATTACATATAAAAACCTGTCCTGCTACTAATTCATGGGAAGTCAATTTGAAACATAATATTTAGCAATTCAATTTTTTAAAATGTGACTTTTCAAAAGAGTGTTCATTGCTAATGCCCTTTTATTTGAATTATTTTATAATCGTATTTCATAATGACTTGGGATTTAAGGCTTTTTAAAATTTATTGAGGTGACATTGGTTAATAACATGTTTCAAGTGTACAGTTCTGTAATACATCATCTTCACATTGCAATGTGTGCTCACCAAAGGTTTTATTTTAATACGTTGTTTTTATCTCAGCAGAAATGCAGCAAGTGTTGGATAACCTTACGGAGCTGCCCTCATCTACGGGAGCAGAAGAGATAGACCTAATTTTCCTCAAGGGGATTATGGAGAATCCAATCGTAAAATCACTTGCTAAGGTATATTGGTTTATTCATAAGATTACTAAATTATTTTTTTAAATTATTTTTACAGAGGTCTTTTCAGATATTACTGTGTTAGAACTTAGGCTTAGTTAGCAAATAATACGTACCACATAATGAAATCTCAGTATACATCAAAATTGGACCACTTTATGCTTTTTCTGTGCTGACTTTAAATACAGGATGAAATGACCCTTAGTTATATGGCCTGTGTTGTAACACATTTAAAATTTTAGGGCAATCATAACCGTCATGTTACAGTGTAGTGGGCCCTATGAAAAAGATCCTGGTTCTATCTTTATTTTTAACAATAGCAAGATGCTGACTTTTTTAATATTAAATTTATTGGGATGATATTGGGTAATAAAATTATACAGATTTCAGGGGCTGGTTTTCTTTTTTTACATTAGACCATGCACCTATTTTAGACTTCTTATATCTAGTACTTTTTGAAATCTTATTTTCTCTTGGCTAACCCTGGTATTTTAAGTCTCTTTCCATAATCAGTTCTGTAATAATCTCTTTAACTCACTCATCTTTTATAGCTATTTTTGGCCCAGTTTTTTTTCTCTTATACTATTTTCCTGGAATAATTTTTATATACATCACTAACGCTTAGTGCATTCCTGCTTCACAGCCCTGCCCTCCCACTCTTTCGTGTTCACCAAATGGTTCTTGCTCTCTGACCTTTTCTTCACGTAGCCATTTGTCATTCCCAGAATATTGATTTCACCCTCTCCTTTGATCATTTTTTAGCCACTTGTTTTTTCGTGAGACTTCTGAAAAACCCTACCTTTTATAAAATTTTCCATTGGTACGAGCTAATTAATGATGCAGATTCTTTATTTTATTCATAAACTTAATCTTCCTAAGATCACATGACAAAAGGTTTGGGCCCCTAAGTAGCCACTTGCAGATTGCCCTTGGAAGTTTTACATATATACTAGAGGCCCGGCGCCAACATTAATCTTACCATACATTTCATTTTTTTTTCTATTATCATTAATGGAGAATAGTATTTGTCACTTTAGTTATAGCCCACAATTCTGTTAAAAAAGATTTTTTTTGTTTGCAAGCATGGTTGGACTGTGCTTGGGTGAAATACTTGGAAGTTCTGAAAGAGCTTTTTCTTCTCTGCAGTTTATTTTTCTAAGGTGCAGTGATGAGTAAGGTTCTCAGAACTGGCCGTACAAGAAGGCTAGGCCAGTCATTGTGTTTTCTTCCAAGCACTTGTGGCAGGTGACATATTTTTACTGAATTATGCTAGCTTTCTAATAGTGCTTTCTTAAAGGAAACAAGACCCATTTATTCAAATGCATGTGATTCATTTATCAGAGTTTCCTTTGTCCTTGGTTTGATTAAATTCCAGTTGGTACTCTTTTTTTAATTCTGGGCCAGCTTTAGCTCTGAGGCCTCGCTGCTGAAAACATCGATACAATGTTGCGGTCCAGGGCTGACTGAAAGCCGGTTTCTGGGGTTTTGTTTAGCTTCTTATTTGCAACATAGTACATAGTTGCTTAGAGTTGCAGCTGAGAGGCCAGCAAGTTTGGCGGGGAACGTTGGAGTCTGCAGTCCCTGGAGCAAGCAAGCCTCATGTTCGCTTCCAGCTGCCTGGCTGCTGGCCGCCATCTTGGCTGACAGTTAATTTGCATAAGGATATGCTGATTAGCCAATGGGAAGGGTAGCTCGTACGCCAATTACCATCTTAAGCTTTCTTATATTATCATAAGAGAGTTAGAGTATTGCAAGGTTAATGATGCTAAATCAGATATTTATCAAAGTAAGTATCTGTATTAAAACAGTAATTCTTGCTTTTTTTTGGTAAGAGTTAACTAATTATGTATGTTATTTTAGTTTTTTTCCAATGTTGATATTTATTCTGTGATATGTATTGAGTGTCTTCATTATCCTATTCTTATCAAGCTTTCAAAATATTACACACTTGCCTATTCTCATTCTCTGGCATTTCTAGTCTTCTTAATTTTTTCTTATCTAAATCTAATAGAAACTTTTCCTTCTATTTAAATTACATTTGGTCTTTTGACATTTTTCTTTGTTTAAAAGCAGTTATAATTTCTTCTTTATCAGTTTATTTCATGTGATTTAAAATTTCTTCTGAGGTGTTTCTTTAAAATGTTGCTTAATATATAGCCCCCCGTTCTACTTAAAAACTTGTTTTACTTTGTGAATCACCTAGGAAAAAATACATCTAAGTGAAAAATTGCATTTTAAAAATTAAAATGTGTATTTGGACTCTGAAGGATTCTTTCTATGATAGAAATAACATTTAAGTATTATAGGTATCAAATAAGGTGTAATTGATAGTTGCCACTTGAAATTAGGATTTTTCTTCAGCATTTACAGAAATGAATCTTAAAATATTATTTGTAAGACTTGACATCTTACATGGTTTCATTTATAAACTAAATCTTAATAATTATGATTTGCTATCTTCAAAATCAGACTGCAAGCATTTACCAGAAACACAAAGAACACTAAAATATGAAGACTGCATAGTGTTCATTCTCAGTTTGAATGTAAAACTCTGCTTTACTCCTTCAGTGAAAGGGTAATTAGGACTACTGATTTTCTGTGACAGTGTGATTCATGGTCCACTTTATGTGGAAAAGACTATGAGATTTTTAAAAAACAGCTTAAGATATATAGACATGAAATGACACCATCCTTTAAGGTCCAGTTCAAGAACTGCCTCCCCAAACTGATTTATTTGCTGATTTGGACTCTGAGTTTCCCAAAATGATTTTTATGATTTTTTGAATGGTAATCTATATAATGATTATGTTCCTAATAAAGCTTCATCTAGAGTTTGAGCCTAGACCAGAAAGTCATTAGGAAATTCTATTGGATAAGAAATACGTTTTTTATTGTCATTTGGCCTATTTAGTGTTTGTTGTTGTTGTTTCTTACTGATTTCAGAGAGAGGAAGGGAGAAGGGGAGAAAGATAGAAACATCAATGATGAGAGAGAATCATTGATCGACTGCCTCCTGCATGCCCCACACTGGGGATCGAGCCTGCAACCTGGGCATGTTCCCCAACTGAAAATGGAACCATAACCTCCTGGTTCATAGGTCAATGCTCAACCACTGAGCCATGCCAGCCTGGCATGGCCTATTTAGTTTTTTCTCATAGTTAAATTATAAAAATGAGTTTTTCATGGCTTAGGATAGGAATAGAGGCCAAGATTTATTATACTGCATGAAAACATTTACTTAAAAATCTATATATTGCCTCTGATTGAAGTATTAAATTTGGTTTCAATGAATCACACTTTTAAGTCATATCTTTTAAAGCTTTATGAAAAAGAAGCAAATCAAGAGGAAAACCACAGTCTGAAGTCAAACAATATGTGTTATTACTTTTCCTATACTGTCTTTTCAAAGGCTCATGAGAGACTAGAAGATTCAAAACTAGAAGCTGTCAGTGACAATAACTTGGAATTAGTCAATGAAATTCTTGAAGATATCACTCCTCTAATCAGTGTGGATGAGAATGTGGCAGAACTGGTTGGTATACTCAAAGAGCCCCACTTCCAGGTAAACTTCCCAGCTCTTCTCTCCAAGCCCCTGTGTTCCCAAATAGTCTCCTTTCGCAGTGAAGTTCCAGTTTGAGATGAGGTTTTAGATATTATTTAGGTCCATATTTTGAAGTATGTAAATTCCAACATAGATGTTTTAATATTCTGATATTCTGAGGATACAAAAACACACGTGTAACTAAAGCACATTACATCAATATATGAAGTCTGTCACAAAAATACATCAGGAAGGATTTTTCTTTGCGTAATTAAAAAAAAAAAAAGCCAAATCTGATTCATCATCAGACCATATGCTAGAAATATCTTTCTCTGTGATAGTGACTTTTTCTTCCTCACTACCACTGTTTCCCAGATCTCCTTGTGACCAGTCATACATGTTTTCAGTGTTGCTTCTAGGATTGGGGTGTAGTTGATAACCTTAGGACATCAGAGAGCTATGTAAGGATAGGCAATACAACATAACATACTTTTAAGAGATACAAAAAATAAGTGCAATTTAAGCATTGGTCTATATCCGGGGTCGGCAAACCGCGGCTCGCGAGCCACATGCGGCTCTTTGGCCCCTTGAGTGTGGCTCTTCCACAAAATACCACGTGCGGGCGTGCACGTACAGTGCGATTAAAACTTTGTGGCCCATGCGCAGAAGTCGGTATTTTGTGGAAGAGCCACACACAAGGGGCCAAAGAGCCGCATGTGGCTCGCGATCCGTGGTTTGCCGAGCTGCAGTTTGCCGACCACTGGTCTATATCAATGAAGAGTTAATTATTTTAACAAAGAAAAACCAGTTTCAGGAGAGAAAGGGAGTGGAGGAGATTTCTTATAAATCTGTAATGAAGGCAGTGTGGTATTGGGTCAGCATTAGGAAAATAGATTAATCGACAAGAATAGCAACCCTAGAAATATATCCACACGCATATGGCAACCTGTCTGATAGAGATATTACACTTTAGTGGGGAAAGAATGGACTGTGTAATAAATGGTTGTGGGGTAGAGAAATAAAGTGTCACTTGCTTTCCACTGAAGATCTTGGGGGGCAGCACCCCTTTTTCCTCAAAGACTTTCTCTGACTCCAACAATGTTAATGTAAAATATGAAGATTTAGAGTGAGATGGTTCCTACAGAAATCAGTATCTTAGGTACAAAAACATGGACACATCAGACACACCCATTATGCAGGGGCCAGTTAATTGACGCCTTATAAAACATACTAAGGTATTGGGACTTTATCCTTGGGACAGTGGGAACTGGGAGAGGTCTGATTATGGAGCTAGATTGTTAAGTACTGAGGCAAGAAATTGGGATGGCAGTATAAAATGAGGATTTTCCAGTGTTAAGCCATAAAATCAACAGGACATGGTGACTGGTTACATGTGACAGTTGCAGAAGAGAGATGTGGGAAGTTGATTAAGGGTAGGATTTCTGACCATTGGCATCACTGAGGTTAGGAACACTCTAGCAGAATCTGAACATGTGAATGTTGAGGTAACTGGCCATATTAGGTCTGTGATACCTCAGAAGCATCTGGGTAGTGCTCTTAGGCAAGCTATCTATTTTAAGTAAATACATAAAACTTAATAGGTATACATTTATATAGTTTAATAAATACATAAAACTAGAAAATAGCAAACAAAAATACAAAAATTAAGACATTGTATTCTTATGACCCAAATTACTATACTATCTTAGTGCATATTCCTCCCATTTTTTTCAGTGCATAAATGTACTTTCTTTTCTTTACTAGTTGAGATCATTTTTCACAAGGTATTTTGTAATTCACCCTTTTTTTCAATAATTGATTGCCACTTTTCCATTTAAGTGGACCTCCATTTCAGGTGCACATACTATATTCAAATGTCTTTATTTGATGCCAAAATATTCTTTACAGCTGGTTTGTACATACAGGCTTCCAACCTCGGTCCATGTGCAGCATCTGGTTGGACCATCTCTCTCTCCCTTGGTTATGATGTTGACCTTTTGAAGAGATCAGGTTATTATCCTGTGGCATGTCCCACTTTCTGGATGTATCTGGTTGCTTCCCTACTGTTTAGTTATCTATCCTTTCTAGTTCCTGTAAACATAAGTTCTATCTAAAAGGTCGGTATTCAAGTTAATTATTTGGAACTCGAATTCATTTTAAATGATGTGATGCAACATGAATTAAATTGTATCAGAAATGTGTAGTGCCTGGTTGGCCCACCACTATTGACGCTGAGATTGGTCCCTGATTAAGGGCAATGACAGTCTAACCCTTCCTTTGAAAGCTTTTCCACTAGAAGTAATCTAGTATGTTATTATTCTAGCATTATACAAATGCTGTTTCCTTTCAACCATTTACCTACATTAATAATCCTTGCCTGAATCAATATTTTCATTAGAGCTTGTACATGACATTTTTCAGATTCTCTCACTCTGCATTTATTAGCCAGTGTTCTTATATAAAAAGGGTTTTTCCTCATCAAGTGGGCTATTGAGCTACTCTGTAATACATTTCCCACTGAAACATCAGTGAGATGCTTGATCCTTCCCTTTACCAATTTTCAAAGTAAAGAATTACTTAAAATAGCATTGGTCTATAATATTAATGAAGAGTGTTTTCAGTCTTTTGTTTTTTAAATAGCACTGTGGAGTTATGGATTTTTCATTAATTCAATATGCTTCAGTCCTCTACAATGCTTAACTCTTTGATTTTTAAATTATCATAATTGTGTTATGTTGTAGGCAGATTTTTAGTCTATTAATCTGACATAATGAAAGATCTGGATCAAAGGTATAAAATTGGGAATTAATAATATATAAATAGTGGTTCAAGTCACAGGAACAAATATTTCCTAAGAGGAGAGAACAGAGTGAAAACAAAGACCACGTTAGAGATTTGAGCGACTTCAGCATTTATAGGAATAATCCTCTTACACGGATTTGTTCCCTTTTCCTTTTTGAAATTTTTCTTTAGTCTCTTACACATATTTTTATGAAATAGCCAGAAATTATCCATGAAACCTGCATGTTAATTATTTATATTTTGAACCAGTTGACATTTGCTCCCTTCATATTTAAAAAAATATGTTTTTATTGATTTCAAAGAGAGAAGGGGAGTTAGAAACATCAATGATGAATCATTGATCAGCTGCCTCCTACACGCCCCCTACTGGGCATGTGCTCTGATGGGGCGCTGAACAGTGACCTCCTGGTTCATGGGTCTATGCTCAAAACACCCAGGCATGCCAGCTGGGCTCTTCTTTGCATTTTGATTTATGGTTTTTGAACTTGCATTTTAACATCTCAAAAATTTTTTTAACCTGGCTTTATGTTTTGAATCCTTACAGTCACTCTTGGAAGCCCATGATATTGTGGCATCAAAGTGTTATGATTCACCTCCATCAAGCCCGGAAATGAATAATTCTGTTAATAATCAGTTATTACCAGTAGATGCCATTCGTATTCTTGGTATTCACAAAAGAGCTGGGGAGCCATTGGTGAGTAGATAAATTGGTGCCTTCTTCAAACTGAAGCTGCCATATTGTTGCTCAGTCCTGCTCTCATTTTCTTCTCTTTCATAACTCGTATCATAATGAAAACTTCATTTGTATTTGTTTTATGTGGTTTTTGGCCTCTATATAAAATATACTCCTGATGCTGTTTCAACTTGATTTAGCATACAAAATTAAACCAAGATAAAAGTTAAATTGAATTAGAGGCCAGAATAAGTACTTTATTTTTTTTCCTATGCCCTTTGAAGAAATTAGCTCAGATTGCTTGCTAATGAAGTAGCAAAACACGGAAGAAAGTTGTTATTAAAAAGTGAAGAAATGGTAGGGAGGGCTCTATAAGTAGAGAAGTTTATAATTTCCTACTTAAAATTATTATTTTTGGATCCCGACTATAAAAACAGTGAAATGGTGAAAAAGAAAAGCCGGGAACAAGGCATATCTGTCTTTTCTTGTTCCTTTGAGGTAACTTTTATCCTGTGGAATGCAGCCTAATATATTTTTCACTTTTTCAGGTTAAAAGTCCTTTTTTAAGGGTGGTATATGTTGTCACAATTGCACATGGTTTAAGGAGATTTGACTCTTGACACAGGAGAGAACATGGGAAAAATAGGAATCATCCACTCGCCTACTTTTAGAACTATTTTCATATATATATATATATATTTTCATGAGTTTTTAAGATTTATTTTTAAGTCTAAAATCAATGACAATTCCGTTCCTTATTTCCTTTAGGGTGTAACCTTTAGAGTTGAAAATAATGACCTGGTAATCGCCCGAATCCTTCATGGAGGCATGATAGATCGACAAGGTCTGCTCCATGTGGGAGATATCATTAAAGAAGTCAATGGCCACGAGGTTGGAAACAATCCAAAGGAATTACAAGAATTACTGAAAAATATCAGTGGAAGTGTCACCCTAAAAATCTTACCAAGCTATAGAGATACCATTATTCCTCAACAGGTTAGTAATAAGATTCTTGGTAATCTTTAGATTACTTTTATCACACTGTTGGATATAACTAGCCACCAGTTGCTACTCTTTTGCTAAAGAAAAGAGGGGGCAAAACTGTCTGATTTAATTGTTCTGATATGCCTTATTTTGTCATGGGTGAATTTTTGAATTTTTAAACAACCTCATCTTACTACTATAAAGGAATTAGTAAAGAAATATTTTTGTGAACACCCCAAACCGCCATTTCAGTAACATACAGCTAGGTAAAAAAAAAAACCATAAAGCCTTTTAGTCATTAATCTAGTAAATATTTTTTGATACTTGTTATGTTCCAGCCCCTGTGAGAGAATAATGTAGTCCCAACCACCTATAGCTTAGTGTACATGGGATGGGCTAGAAGAGCAATTTTCAACCCCTGTGCTGCAAGAATTTTTAAAACATGCAATACCTGGCCCAGCCGGCATGGCTCGGTTGATTGTCGTCCTATGAACCAGGAGTTTACGATTTGATTCCCCGTCAGGGCATATGCCCAGGTTGCGGGCTCGATCCCCCGTGTGAGGTATGCAGGAGGCAGCTGATCAATTCCCTTTTATCATTGATGTTTCTCTCTCTCTCTCCCTCTCCTTTCCTCTCTGAAATCAATTTTAAAAAAGCAATTTTATTTAAAAACATACAAACAAAAAACTATACAATACCTGAGTATTTACTTAGGGGCACTGACCTCTTTTCCTTTAGATTGTCAGATAAAAAATGACAACAGACAACACAATACCAGTCCGGGGTGAATGAATCAAAATTATACCTTTTTTTTTTTTGATCAGCAAAAATACATTTTTTGGTGTGCCGCAGAATTTTAGTAATTAGTTTATGTGTACCATGACATGAAAAAGGTTGAAAATTGCTGGTGTGATAGAATTGTAAAGGAAGAAAAAAATAATGAAGTAATTATTCATTACAAAGAAGCAGTTGACGATTATGGTGAGAATGTTGGAACTGAGAGGGTTTTCAAGCCTAGATAATATAGAAATAGGAAATATCTACCAATGTTTTAGATATCTTTAATTGTTCACTTTATTCCAGAAATTTATTGTTTCATGTGTGAGTGAAATTGTGTTTCTTTAAGATGCTACTAGTGTTAAAGGCTAGTTTTTGTATTTCTATGCAATTCTTTGAAATAACATGTTGAATACCTGTTTTATATTGTTATTCAGAGGGTAGGGTACAATATTTAGTCATGATTTTAGTATGTAAATTGGACTTCTTAATATATATATAGTATATATAGGCTTATAATGAACTTTGGTGAAATGAAGGTAGAGAGAGACCTTGTCTTCAAGGAAAAGAATCATGAATTGGCACACTTCCATTTGGAAAAGTAGAGCCAAAGATTTACTTTTTAAAATTACGTATTAGTTTTGATACTTAGAAAGATTCCAGCCCCCTGTGATCCAAACTCCAGAATTCTTACAAGCTCACAATGACCATAATGGACTTCTGCGGGAAAAACAAATTTTTATAATATTAATAGCCAGGACTTTGGCCTAAATTGCTCTGTAAATTCTACAGTTGGTGAGCTGATCTGAATGATGGGAAACGCGCGGCCATTTAGCCCCGTGTTGGGCCACCTTGGTCTTCCTGCTCATCTCCTCAGCTTGGTGACCGCCGGCTCCACCAGCTTTCCCTTTCCTGAGTTGCAAAGTGGAAACTTTTCTGTGCAGTTAGCTGGATCCAGGGTGCTCACCTAGTTTCCACTTTTTAGGAATCACCGTCTTCGTTGTCCAGTACCTTGACAAATGTTTCATATATTTTGTCCAGTTTTTTAGTTGTTTCAGATTGGAGGATCCTTGTTATTTCATCTTAGAAGCAGGAGTCATTTTATCTTTTATTACCATAAAAATTTAATTTTTGAATAAACGAATCATTCCCACAGTTCAAAATTCAAGCAATATAAATTCATAGTCAGTTAAAACCTCCCTCCTAATTCTCTACCAACTTAAACCGCACTCCCTCCATAAGATACCATGCTATTAGTATCTCTCCAGGGTTTCTTTATTCATATGCAAGTAAGTAAAAATTATATATTCTTTTTCCCCTTCCACCTCCTTTTTAATGAAAAGGTTACATAACATAATATGCACACTCTAAACCTTGTTTTTTTGTTTGTTTTTCAATGAACTATGTTACCTTGTTTCCTTTTTGGTACATAGTCTGCTTATTGAAATATATCCCCCCTTTTTTATTTAATACCTGCAGTGTTATATTACATAGGTTTGCCATCATTTGTTTAATCAGTCCCTATTGTTAAGCAATTAGTTGTGTCTGATCTTTTTCAGTCAGTTGCTAATAGTCTTCTACATAAGTCACTTTGTATATGTCTGCATAGCATTGCTATTGAATACATTCCCGTAGGTGGGTTGCTAAGGTGGAGAGTTTTTGCATTTGTGATTTTGATAGTTACTGCCAAATTGTCCTCCCAAGGGATTGAACCAGTTTTTTCACCAATCTGTTAGAAAAATGGCTATTGGCCCATAGACCTAGCCATGGTATATTCACGTATTTGGATTTCTGCTAATCTGACGGGAAGAAATGTTATAATATAATTTTATTTTTCTATTCTGAGTGAGGTTGAATATCTCCTCCTGTGTTTAAAAGCCATTTGTCCTTCCTTTTCTTTCTTGCATCTTCTTTAGATTGTTAGTCATTCAGAATATGGGATTGAAATACTTTAGGTTGTGTTTAGCAACTTTTTAATAACGAGTGAATAGTTAACATCCATAGCCTCTTAGTGAAACACTTTAAAATGCACTTAATAAAATGTAATTATACCTGACAAATATCTAATGACTTTAAGCTCATTAAAAATGTTTAGATCAAAGATTGGGTTCATTAATTTTTTTTTCAGACAAATTTTCAAAGTAAAACCAGTTTAATATGTTCCAAAATTAATTTGATAAATTAATAAATAAAAATTATTTCTTCTAGAAATTCTTTACATTTGAAAGGTATAATTTTTGTTCCACAAATAATGACATTTTCAGAACAATTTGATGGGAGTAGGGGAATGAATGTTTGAAATTTGGACTTCCTCAGAAAGCTTTATGGTAACAAAACATATTCTGCCACAGATAAGAATAAACATAGGCATGTTTAGATGACAGGGTACCCTTATTCATTCGGTGCAGCTTTCTTGAGAAGTAAGGCATATCCCAGTATTTTTACAACTTTGCATACTCATCTGCCTCATTCAAACCCCTCAATAGTTCTGCTGCTTTGATTTATAATGTTCAGATATGGACAATTCTTTCAGGAAGTAGTTGCTTGACTAAATGAGTGAAGTAATAAGATGGGCCAGTGTTTGTTTATATTTTGTTGATTCATTATCCCTTTAAAGCTTGGCTTTATTTATGCGATGAAAAATGTATTTTTAGAGCGGCATCAGTATGGAGAGGCATCCAGCCCACGCCCGTCAGGTATGCTGTCATTCCAGGGCATTCTCTGCGACTCGGTTTTTCTGTCCTATCAGACAACTAAATCTACCTTGATTGAACTTAATCATTTTGGATTTTCTCCGTTGCCAAATCATTGAGCTGCATGCTATTGTCAAGTTAGTCAGTTGTCACATTTTAGGCAAGCTTAATATTACTTGTATGCTTGCATTTAGATATTTCTAAAATTGCAGATCATAAAAAATTATTGGCTTACTGATTTTTTAGGCATTAATATTTAGCCTTTCCAAAGTTATTGAAAATGTTCAGAATGCTTTCTTTGAAAATCATCTAATTGTAAATAACTAAAATTTTGTCAAATTTTCCAAATTTAGTTATTTTTAAATTATTTAATATGCATCCACAATATTGCATTTTACTACACTAATAATATCTGCTTGTGTTATTTGAATATCTTGTGTGGTTATATTTATAGAAATATGATAAGTAGAAAAGTAACATTATTTTGACTAATTATGTGTTTTCCTGCTTGTTAAAGTTTACTTGCTAATTAATGCTAAGTAAGTTCTTTAGAAGATAAAATTTGAATTTCTATAAATATGCATGAAAAAATTGTTTTAAGAAAGTAATCTGTCTGAACTTGCCATCAAATACTGAAAATGCTTAGCTTAATTAGAATTCAAATTAAAGTGACTAAGCAAAATACTGTAGGTACTGGAGATCATAACTAACTGGTAACTGCCATACTTATATTGATAAAACAGATTTAAAAGAAATTTGTATAATTAAATGAATTTAAAATAGTTTCTAGGCTTTTTCAGTATTTATCTTATTTAATACTGATTTAAATCAGAGCAAGGTGATTCCAGCAAAGTATTTTCCACACTAGTTTTGGCCAGTGTAAGTCTATGTAGTTACCTTTTTAAGGTTACTAAATATATTTCGGGTCTGACTTCCACATGAACTTTCATTATTTAATTTTGGTTTCAGAGCCCTTTCAAAAAGTCAGTCCTAATATATCTGAAATATATGCCTTAAATCAACTGCATATATTGTTTAGGATGTTAATGTGGTGCTAATGTTTATTTCATATTTTCTTTTCTGATACCAAATTATTAATGTTCTAATAATTTAATTTTTATTTGAGAGAGACAAGTTCCATAGTTGAAGTATTAAATACATTGTCAATTACAATAAAATCAACGTGGTTTGGAAAAGGTTTCAAAAATCCCGTTATAAATGATACATCTATGGTACTTTTAATTGTTTTCATTTCATGTCATTGTTTTAATAATACTTTTAATTGTGTGTTTTAGGTATTTGTGAAATGTCATTTTGATTATAATCCATACAACGATAACCTGATTCCCTGCAAAGAAGCAGGATTGAAGTTTTCAAAAGGAGAAATTCTTCAGATTGTAAACAGAGAAGATCCAAATTGGTGGCAGGTGAGTGTGCTGCTCAGAATTTCCTCACCTGCTTTTTTATTTTCAACCTTAATGTGGCCAATATCTGCATATTCAGGAAGAAGGTATAAGCATTCGTTCCAATGGTTTTACCTGCATGAACAACTCCGGCTGCAGGGCTGCTAATTTTGTGGACAGAGGACCAAATTGAGAGGGAATTTGTGAATGGCTGTTAATAAATGCAGAATTAACTAGCCTGTGGTGCCACTACTGGTTTAGGGATTAGACCTGTTGGTGCTTCCCCATGGGTGATTGCAGTAAGATACAGAATTAGGCAGGAACAACTCATTTGGGGTCCTCCCTTTTCAGTGTTTTTGTTTGTTTTAACTAAGGAGTCTTTTATTGTGGTTGTAGTCATCTTTCTCTTGTCTCTCTTCCCTCTGAATACTTTCATGGCAAATAAAGCATAATTTTTTAAGCTCTTAAAGCTATTTGCCCACCTCTTTCATTTACTGAGAAATGAAGGCGTGCTTTATTGTCAGTGTTGTTTTTGATCGTGGATTGAATTCTGTGTGTATGGAAAGGATGTGTGTTAGCACTGTATTTTGCCCCTTCCGTTTTCCAAAGCTGTGTGATGATGTTCTTCTTCCTCCTTCCCTTAATACAGCTTTCAGAAATCTCTAGCAGCCATAAGTCTGTTTTTTGTCATTCTTTACATTGGCCAACAACCACAGTGTTCAGAACTGGAGGAACTAACAAATCAGAAAGTCTAAACTCCCTTAAACTGTCAGAGTCTCATTGAAGAACAAGCTGTGAGAGAAAAGGACCAGGACCCAGCACCAAACTCTAAATCAGACTGAGATATCAGAAACACACATTAGCTCTAGTAAGTTATAGTGACTTCTAAGGGGAATGAATTACAAGGATGAGAACAGTCTCACTCGTGTGTCCTTATATTTACAGCAAATTAAGACATCAATATGTACAAGTCCACTGTGCAACAGGTTAGAAAACTAAGAAACGAGTAAATTAAATAGAATTCATGATTTCAAGAAGTTTCTATTGAATTTCTTAGACTGCTCACCTGAAAAATCTGCCTTCTGTGGCTGTTTCTTTTATTGAACTTTTCCAATATTGTCTTTTTCCCCCCACTTTTTGAATGCCACCTGTCATCTAATCCTTTTCACCATTATCTCAGTTTCTTCCTGCATTTTGTGGTCTATTCCTTTAATCCTTTTTTTTTTCTTTCAGGATTTTAATTGCTAAAAACGTACCAGATTTTTTTAATGCTAGTGTGTTATAATAAAGTCACTAACTTTGTGAGAGAAGCCACTAGTAGCCGGTTCTCCAGCCACTATATTAAACTAGCACTTCTTTGGATTTTACTTTGAAAGTTAGTTCTTGACAGTAGGTGAAGTTTTACTCTTTAAACTTACTGTTTCTCAGGATACTCAGATTGCTGATAGCGTGAATTAAATGCTCCCCTCTGTTTTCCCGATGCTATCTTTCTCTTTGATTTGGCCTCAGGAAATACCAACATGGTAGGATTAAGGCTGATAGTACTTATCTTACTAAAGGATGCTAGATAAAATTTCCTTTAAACACATACACTAGCATTTATTTCTTTCCACATTCTTTGACTAACTTGGTGTTAAAAATAAAAAGTTTTAGTAATTTGAAGAGCCTGTGTACTTTTTTATTTTGGTCCCAAAATTTTCTTACAGATGGTGGGTGGGTTGACTAGGTGCCACTTGATTCCTCAGTGCTAAAGTGTTTAAATGACTTGACAATGCCATGGATTTAAATCTCAAGGTCAGTTTTAAGAGCAAATGTGGTATTTTTTACTGACTACTGCTTGTTCTACTTTTTAGAATATCGTCTCAAGTTTTGGTCACTGAGATATGCAATTCGTTAATTTGATTCTAGGCTAGCCATGTAAAAGAGGGAGGAAGCGCTGGTCTCATTCCAAGCCAGTTCCTGGAAGAGAAGAGAAAGGCATTTGTTAGAAGAGACTGGGACAATTCAGGTGATGAGCTCCACATAATAAGTAACAAGTTGTCCTTTGTGGACACCTTTCTTTGCCTCTTTCATCTGAATTAGCAAGTGAATTTATTTACTGTATGTCTAGAATTAATCCCTCCCATCTATCTGTTTTATTGTGTCTCTCAAAAGTAAACTTTTCGATCCCTTTCTGCCACCTGCTGGTATGGTACCAGAATTCAGTGTGGCTCACCTGCCCCCTTCTGCTTTGTAGGATGCAACACTGGGAAGATCATGCTCCCAACCCTGTCGAATCCACAGGGCAATTGTATCATATTTTGACATTCAAGTTATATTTGTCTTTTCATTCTTTAGGGCCTTTTTGTGGAACCCTAAGTAGCAAAAAAAAGAAAAAGATGATGTATCTCACCACCAGAAATGCAGGTGTGTTTGCAATACTTTTTGAGAAGTCCAAGTGAAATAGCTTTATAATGTTAATTGGTGTGGCATGGAGTCTATGTATATAATTTTCAATGAATATAATTCAGATTAGTACCCAGTTCAAGGGGTTGGCATGTGAACACATGATACAATTTAATATGAAGACATTATTTAAATTCTGATGTTATATATGCTTATACTATGACCAATGTGCTTGTTTTATGAGTATAATTTGCAACACAGTGAATTGCTTAGGATGCTTATATTAATAAAGGAGCAATATTATAATTGAAGCTATTCAGAGAATTTTGATAATTTATGTGTCATTTCTAAAGAGCAAAATGCCTTTATGAAGGTATGAAAGAGTTACGATTAAAGGCAACTATATTCAGGCATAACATTGTCCATGGCTCTTTTGGGAAAATAGTACTGACCAATGAATCTTGGTTTGATCCAGGAGGACTCTTTCTTAAATCTTTTAGACTTAAGGAAAGATAAATAGGACACTGCTGTCGTTTCTCCTTTCAGTGCAGTGGTTCTCAACCTGCTGGCCCTTTAAATACAGTTCCTCATGTTGTGACCCAACCATAAAATTATTAACTGTAATGTTGCCACTGTTATGAATTGTAAAGTAAATATCTGATATGCAGGATGGTCTTAGGCGACCCCTGTGAAAGAGTCGTTCGACCGCCAAAGGGGTCGCGACCCACAGGTTGAGAACCACTGGTTTAGAGGCTGATAGGAGTGAAGTGCAGCTCTGGAGGCTTACTCGAAGGATTGTCAGTTTTAAAGCACTTTCTTGACTTCAGAGCTGCCTCTCCACTGGTAATAAACTAAATTGCATACTCTAAGGCAGTGGCCGGCAAACTGTGGCTCACGAGCCACATGCGGCTCTTTGGCCCCTTGAGTGTGGCTCTTCCACAAAATACCATGTCGGGTGTGCACGTACAGTGCGATTGAAACTTTGTGGCCCATGCACAGAAGTCGGTATTTTGTGGAAGAGCCACACTCAAGGGGCCAAAGAGCCGCATGTGGCTTGTGAGCCGCAGTTTGCCGACCACTGCTCTAAGGGAAATGTAATAATAAATTAAAATATAATAAGGAGAAAATAGGCTCTTCCTCAACATTCGCTAAGCTACTGTGGGGAAACTGCAAAGGGTTGCTGTTAAAATAACCTAAGGAGTATTCTTACTATAGATTGAGAGTGATAGCTATAATGATGGCAATAGAATATTTCAAACTCAGTTTAGCCTTATTATTCATGAAATATGTGTTCTTAAGTCTTTCTAATAAAATAGAAAATTTGTAATTTCACCATTGACTATGAATATAATTTTGGAATGTATTTCTAGTGAAAATAATTTGGATCCTATATTTTATATTATACATATTTTCAGAATCTTATATTTAAATGTCAGTATGTTGTCTATATGCATTTATTAATCAAACTTATTTGCAGAGTCACCAAGATAGTACTTGTTCATTTATGACACTGGAAGGGCACACTCATTCTATAAGGACTTATTCATTGATGTCACTGGGAGGGCACACTCATTCTATAAGGACTTCTCATTGATGTCACTGGAGAGGGCACACTCATTCTATAAGGACTTCTCATTGATGTCACTGGAAGGGCACACTCATTCTATAAGGACTTATTGAAGCAGCCACGCTAGGTATACTGCTGTCCTCCATAGTTGATACATACTTTTTAGCCAAATAAATTATATAAACTATTTGTCACCAGATTATTTATATTAAAGGAATTATTTCTACTCAAGAATTGATAAGAAGGTTTTATGGATAGAATATTTGATAAGGATAAAGCACGGGCATTTTTCTAGCTTGGCTGGACAAATTTTTAAGAAACGGATGGCAGCAGATGTTTAAATCAAAATATAAAATAATTTCTTGTACTTTATCAAATTAATAAAAACAAATCTGTGCTGAGTACAATTCAGGTGATATTTCACTAGCATGCTTATTAAGTCATTACTGAACAGCATAGCAGAAGTTTCTCATCCACATGAAAGACAATTGAATGTGGTGTTTCCCATTTCCTTTACCTGCAGAATTTGACCGTCATGAAATCCAGATCTACGAGGAGGTAGCCAGAATGCCTCCCTTCCAGAGAAGGACATTAGTATTAATAGGAGCTCAAGGTGTGGGACGAAGAAGCTTGAAAAACAGGTTCATAGTATTGAATCCCACTAGATTTGGAACCACGGTGCCGTGTAAGTTGTGTGTTTTCTTCTCTGTTTAATTGGCAAGAAAATGTAGTGGGGGCAGATAATTGTGATCTTTAGTCCCAAATAGGTTTTTATTATGTCAATGAAAACAAGCAAATAGAAGATATTGGCAGCAACTCTATGGCTGTCTGGAGGTAGCACTATTCCCGTCAGCCTGCGCCTGGTGGCAGTCGCTCCTCCAAACTCTGTAGTTCAGAAATGCTAAGCACAAGTAGTAAGAGTTGTGGCAAAAGCAGCATTAACTTTGTAGTTTCTTTTACTTCCGATGTCTATGTGAAAAGTTGTATTTTTCACCCATTTTGGTGTAAAGAAAAGGGAGAAACCTGCTGGGTCCTCAGTCACCTCTCAGTGTGGCAGTCCCTTTGTTAACTGGTGTGAGCCTGCAAGGTCATAGTCCTGGTTTCGGAGAGCACAGCAGGAGGGACTCATCTTCCAGGGCAGGCAGCATTCATTAAGGGCGCAGAGATTGATAGAGAAAATAAAACGATGCCGATGGGAAGTGTAACCATTAAGTGAACCAAACACTCATTTTATGATTTTTGCATTCTTTCCTTATTTGCATATCTACATGGAAAGTTCAGTAGTATTGTCAGAAGTATGCTTGATGAGAGTGGGATTAGATCAAGGAGTGAGATGATATCACTGACTTATTATAAGGACTGATACACATTTGCTTTATTTCGAAGATGCACTAGCCTTCCCTTCTCGGAACTTAGATGTTCTGTCCCTGAACAAGGCAGGAGACGAGCCAGTGTTGCCTCCCCTTCCTGTGCCGCTATTGCTGCCCCCTTCGTGACTAACACAGTATTTCTTAACGTATATTAGTGCCCTTAAGCTGTCCTGAATCAGATCATAGCCTACTGTCACTCCATCTCTTTTCGATGAGTTTTAGAGTTTCTCTGTTATCCAGCTTGTTTTGAGGTTTAATTCTCGGTGAGTGAGCTCATTGCTGAAGTTCTTAGGGCTTGTTGGAGGAGTAACCATATTGTTGCCCTCATGTGCTGTTTGTAATCCCTTCAGGGGAAGGCTTTCCATTGTAAGCACATGAATCACAAAACTCAGACAAATCCTAGTTCAGTAGTTATTAAAGCCTCACTGTGGTCAAAGAACTGTAAAGTATTTTATTTTCAGCAAGTTAATACATGTACAATATTTTAATCAAGTAGTACTTAAATAATGGAAAAAATAACCCCCTATTTTCCTCTACCCCCACCTTGGGCCTACTTACTAGAAACGGTTGCTTCTCTTTCTTTTTGCTATTTCTTCTGATAGCCTTCCCGATTTCTTAATTGTCTTCATTCTGCTATTTCTTGCCTTGTCCAGTGAGGGCCTCATCTGTTGACTTCCTGACTGTCCTCCAGCATAGCGGTAACTCTAGTTTCAGTTAACGCCGTTTCATTTTCTTGCACAGCCTCCCCTTCTTCCCCCACCCAGCCATCACTAGACGTCCTGTTTTCTTCTCTTTACCTTGGTTTTATGTGTATAGCTTTGTTTTAAGCCAAAGACTCACTTATCTATGAAGCCATGACTTTTGCTTGGAGACCTCTGACTCAGACCTCAGTCCTTTACTAGTGAGCACCGTGGGCTGTGCCTCGACTGCCCCGTTGTGGCCACAGCGATGTCTTTCCTTTTGCCACCGTCCTGGCTCGAAACCGTTGTTCCTGGACCCCATTCTCCTGTCTTGGTTTATTGCCTTGTTTTGCTGGGCACATCCTCTTGTAACTTCACAAGAAATGGGATGTCATTTGTGCATCTTTCTACTTGAAGATGTATATTTTCTGCCCTATATCTGATGGATTATTTAGCAGAGTAGAAATTCTAGATTGTAAAACTCAAAAGATGTAGCTCTTGAATCTAGTTCCGTTAAGAAGTTCACTGTCAGACCTAGCCAGGTTGGCTCAGTGGATAGAGCATCGGCCTGCAGACCAAAAAGCCCCGGGTTCGATTCCAGTCAAGGGCATGTACCTTGGTTGCAGGCTTCTCCCTGGCCTAGGTCCTGGTCGGGGCACGTGCAGGAGGCAACCAGTTGATGTGTTTCTCTCACATCAATGTTTCTCTCTGTCTTTTCCTCTCTCTCTTCTACTCCCCCTTAAAAAAAAAAAAAAATCAATGGAAAAATATCCTCAGGTGAGAATTAACCAAAAAAGGAAGTTCACTGTCATTCAAATTCTTATTTTGGCCCTAGCTGTTTTGGCTCAGTGGATAAAGCATCAGCCTGAGGACTGAAGGGTCCCAGGTTCAATTCCAGTCAAGGGCACATACCCGGTTGTGGGCTCGATCCCCAGTAGGGGGCGTACAGGAGGCCGCCGATCAATGATTCTCTGTCATTGATGTTTCTCTCTCCCTCTCCCTTCCTCTCTGAAATCAATTATATATAATCAATTATATATAATTGATTTCACACATCCAGGCATTTCCTGCTTGGATTTGGCATTGCTGTTTTCTCTGCCCGGAATGCTCTTTCTCCCACTTGGTTCTCAGTTTAAAATATCTACACTAATAAAAGAGAAACATGGTAATTAGCATACGACCGCTACCCTTTTCATTGGCTAATCAGTGAGTATATGCAAATTAACTGACAAACAAGATGGCGGCTAATTTGCATATGTCGGCTCCAAGCCACAGACTGAGGCTTTAGGCCTAGGCCGGGAAGGAGCCAGCCAGCTATCTTCCGCGGCAGCGGCGGCGGCAGCGAGCTGGGGGTGCCCGGCCCAGGCCTAAAGCCTCCAGCAGAGGCTTTAGGCTTGGGCCGGGGAGGAGCCAACCAG